GGGGGGGGGGGGGGGGGGGGGGGTGTCTTCCCGTGAAGTTAAATAATGTAGTGAAATTGTAGAGCATGTGATGATTTGTTGCGTGTTTTATAGACTTTTTGAGTCATGTTTTTAACATTTTTGAGGCAGAGCGATAGAGACAAACCGTCCCATGAACCGTTTAGGAACAAAGGCTAATACAGCACCGACTCACGTGTGCCTTTCTGAATTTTAATAATATTATTTAAATTTAATTTATTGATTTAATATATTATAATTATTAAATTAATTATGCTATCAATAAATACTCGAGCTCACTGTCCGTCTAATGGTTATAAATAATTAAATCAACAAATTAGATTATTAAATTAAATTCAAGTTGTTTTACTCGCTAAATTTTAATTTATCCGAATGTTATTTTAGCCTATCAAAACTTAATATTATGAGTTATAATTATGACCCGTTAATACGAACTTCATTATAAAATTGACATGATCATTAAATACGCATAACAAATAGTCTAAACTAAATGTTTAATACTCATAACACATAAATATATATTTTTTTTCATGAGTTTTAACACGAACACTACACTAATAATAATAATACGATACAAATAACTCGACATACAAGCCAGGCAATTAACACCCCCTACTTAATATTCATCCCCTATTAACTCTTAAATACAATTTTATGTAGAAAATGACTCTTTTAATGTATGAAAATGACTTTCTAGAGAATGGGAGGTCACCATCAAAAGTCACATGTCACTCATAAAAATCTTTATCCATTAGCTTTAAAAGAATGATGATTTTAATCATTTCAATAGTTTGGAGTTCGCACAAAAAATTAAGGAAATTGATAAAACTCATGATATAAGTCGTCAATTGGCATCTATGATATCAAGTAGCATGATACTAAAAAACAAAAGTGGTATGATAAGTCAATATGATTAAATAGAAAAAGCAATGAGAGGTTGGCATTTACAACATTCTACATGTGCTTCTAATTCGAATGTTGGGTGAGATATACAATAACTAACTATCATTAACTTTTGTATCTAAGCCACTTTGTAAGACCAAAAATTGAGTATTTATCATATTTATATTTTAAATAATAATTTATGTTTAGATTTTAAATTTATCCAAACTTTTGCATATCCGCAATCTTAAAATTTGTCACACAGTTAAAAATGAAAAATACTTTCTATAGTTTCATCAAACCCCTTTGATGGCTTTTAATCCACTGTTGCAAGACGGGATTCAAATGCCCAAACCCCAAATATTTAACTAAACATGGTTTTAAAGAGTGCATTTAACTATTCTCATAAAATCCACCCTCTAAATCTCACCCCAAACCCATATACCAAACAAATCTTTGAGTTTAGAACTAGAGTGAATACATCGGAATTATCAGATTCCTTTTTCTTCTTCTCCTCTTTTTTTTTTATTGCATTGCCTTCGGGGTTAAGTTTAGGGCAAAATTCATTTCTTTTGGATTCGTAATATACACTATTTTTGACCTATGGGAAAAAGAAGAGCTTTTTTCATTTTAAACTTGATAAAGTTGTGCCTTCTCATTGTTCTTTGTCCTTCTTTGTCCTCTTAACCTAATGGTGGAATTGAATATTGGCGTGTTCAATGTGAGGCTGCTATGAAAATTATTTTTTAAGGAATGAATGACAATTGAAGAAATTTTTAAAAGTAAGGTAGGTAACATAAATCATTGTCAAATTGTTCATATTTTAACAAGGAAAAAAGCGTTTAGCAATTATATATTTACAGTATTCTCCCCCCTCCCAAAAAAAAAACAAAAACAACAACACAAAGGCCCATTCTGGCCTTATTTATTTATAGAACAACAGCACACTAATATAATATTAAGTGATTTGATAAGATATTCCCTTCATATTCTAACTATGCTCACAACATATATTAAATAAATGAAGTGAATGCCTATTTTAATAAATTTATCTCTCATGAATATTTTAGTTTTGAGGTGGATAGTCCGTCTTTAATCGGATTGTAGAATAGATTAATTGAGGTGCATATAAGTTGAGTCGGATATCTCTGACTGTTATACCTAAAAAATATACAGATATAGTTGGAATTTTCATGGTATGTTATTTGGGTGTCTCATTTAAGTTAGGGCAATGAAACCCTCATTTAAGATCTACTATTGGGACCAACCCCAAAACCACTCCCTATTCCGTTAGACAACTCCTCTCCTCCATCTCAGTCTGGCCACTTCGACAGGGACCATAGATTCGAACTTTTGTATGCATCGTCATTAGGGCTGTCAAAATTTAACATGACATGATTAATCGACACAAATTAAACAGGTTTGAGTGATAAACGGGTTGACACGTTAAACACGTTTATTAAACGGGTCGTGTTCGGGTGAAACCTGTAAAACCGTTTATCACACGTTTATCCGTTTAAATAAAAATAATATAATAATAAATTAATAATTATTTTTAAAAAAATGCAAGAAAAAAAGAAGTGAAAAATGAGGAGAGATGAGAAATGTTAAGTTGCCTATAAAAAGTAATGACCTCTTATTTTTTTTTTAAAGCTTTTAAGTCTTATTTTTATGAGATTTGACTAAAAAATTTTCTTTTTTGAGGTAAGTGCAATTGACAATAAAAAAAATTTGAGTATTAAAATTTGTTAATATAATTTTTTTTAAATTAAACAGATTAAATGAGTCATATTGTATTACCCGTTTATTAAACAGGTTATCTTCGTGTTGAAATTTTTTACTCGTTTATTAAACGTGTCGTGTATGAGTTTATATATTTTTCACTCATTACCTGTTTAATCCGATACTTTTGACACCCCTAATTATCGTAGTAGGAAGGATGATTTCATATCTAGGTCACCAGAGCCAGCCCAAGAATACTTGACAGCTCTAGGCAAAACTGTTAGATGAAACCCTAACCTATATATTCAATTTTATTTTCTTGAAGTATAATTTTTGAGTTAAATTGATTTTAATATAATCAGTTACATAAAGTGTTTATTTTGTAAGTTATTTTTCACTTTAAATATAGATACCTACTAAAAGAAAGAAATTTAAATATTTAAAATTAAAAAAAAAAAAATAAGAATGGAAAGCCTTATAATTTTTTGTACAAGAATATTGTGCGATCTTTTTTTTTTCTTTTTGAATGGACATATATTTATAATTTAAAGAACAATATTTTCAAAATCTTTTTGATTTTTTTACAAAACATTTTAATTTTATTTTGTCAAAATTTATCAATATAATTTGTGAAATATATGCGAACAAGGCCGTGCGCAAGTGGAGGCCTAGGCGACTGCCCCACTTGTCTAGGGGTAGGGCTGGCACTGGGATCATCCTATCATATACTATGCTAGCAGGTAAAACTAGGTATAGGAATAGTGAAAAGACTACGTCGAAACTAACCTGAGAGGGAGTTAGAAGACCATACATTCCAAACCAATATGGGTGGTTAACATAGTTTTATCATTGATTCTCCTCACCATCAGCAAGGATTTCGCTATACCA